GCCTTCACCGCCTTAGCATACACTACTAGTTACGATCAAAGAAAACTCTACCGCACTTCAGATTTGAACCCGCGAACACTGACTTGGCAGTCGCTGCCCTTGCCTACCCGATTACTCAGGCGCAAATTGCAACATTGCAGCCAACGGCTTCAAACTCATCAGAAACGCTAGAAGACATTGCACGCATGTTGGCATTGAAAACGAGGCAAATCGGTCGGAGGACACGGCCACAGTAAAATGTAATCTGAAATCAACTCCATTTCCGCTTTTTGTTCCTTACATATAAACCAAAACAGACACAACGATAAAACTTGCATTTATATTCTATTGATAGTCCTACACCGCCTGTACAAAGAAGGAAAAAATCGGCCACGCCTATGCAAACTTTTAGGTTATCAAATTTTAAATTTTCACTTTTTTGATCTTTTCTGCTTCTTACTCGTAAGACAAGACTATTGAATATTATTTGTGTTGATTCTAAATTAATAAATATGGGTGAACCTCATAGCGTTGGTGGATTCGTTATTTCTTGGCAGTATAATGGATTAAATAATAAATAGAAGGACTTGGAGACTGGAATGCTACAAGCTAAGTGTGTTAATCCCAAATTAAACATTGCGGACGTCACGACGAATAACGCTAGTGGGTACAAAAAATTCGGTTGCGACCGAGTACAATTTTTTTTCTTGTCTTTAATATGCTCGTAAGTTACGGTTGGTAATTTGAGAATGTTTACGTTAAGGCTTTGGATACCTTTTTTTTCGTAGTTTTTGATTTCCGTTTGCATGCAATGAGAGACAGATATTTATTAATTATTATAATTGCGTTAATTAATAATAATTAATGTGCATTAATTTTAATGATAATTAAAAATAAAATATCATTTTTCAATTAAATGTAACTAAAAGTTTAAGAATTTATTGCCATTATTATATAAAAACTAAAATTAAAATCATTAATAACACAAATACATAATTAAAAGAAAAAAACTTAAATAAAAATTTAAAATAATTTATCGTAAATCGTTTAAATGGATTTTATTATAAGATGCGTCAAGCCTTAAAGGTGTGCATCGCCTTATTCCTGCTCTAATTCGAGCCGAGATTGTTGGCAAGCCAAAAAACTGAGGTTAGAGAAATGCCACTTCGTTCGTTCGCTATACATTGCTCAAATTGGTGCAAAACTATATATTGGTGAATGTGCGACAACTTGAATGTAAAAATCAATTTTAATGAAAGCGAGATAGGGAGAAAGGGAGAGAGAGAGAGAGAGAGAGAGAGAGAGAGAGAGAGAGAGAGAGATTGATTGATTGAATGTAAGAAAAGAAAACTGATTGTAACTTAACTCTTTGGAGCCGTTTGCTTTCACCAAAAATTGCTTCTTTTCCTTAGACCGTAACCACAAAATTTTATTGTAAAAAAAATGGATACGAGTAAATACTCAAACAAGTCTTGCCATACAATTTGTTTTAAATTTTATTTATTTCACTGGGGAATAAGGTCTTTGTATCCTAAACAAAAGATGAGTATTACTTTTTGAGGTAAAACTTACGGTTAAATGGTTTCTACGGTTTGCATGTGCTCATAAACACATGCTTAATGATTATAGGTAACGGGATAGTGCAGGTATCAGTGTAGATGTCGAAAAAGGACCCAGTAAGAATTTTGCTCTAAGAGCACAATTAAACTTAATTTGCATGCAAATATTTAACAAACCATGTTTTCATGTCATGGAAATCACTTAGTTTGGAATAATCCAAAATGTAATTTTTAGGTATTATTCGTTCACTTATTTCGATCGGTCATGACAAAGATCACAATCCTCTTTATTCGCTATATATATTTTTGTGTATCGCAAAATTGAAAGAGAAAGTGAGACTACACAGCTCGCCATATCCCTACTTATTCACTAGACGTTCATGTCATTTGTCTACTCAGTTGAAAGTGATTTCGTTTTTAAAATAAGCCAGACGTCCAAATAACTAAGCAATTAATATTCGGCCGCGACCAAATCTCTTTTATACCCTTCATCGTTATTCTGTTTAACATATGTCTACTTAAAAAGCTCTTTTATTTGACACCCATCACAACGGCATTGTGGAGAAAATCTCAATCCACCACGTCGTGATGCCCGCGATATTTAATTGTTATTGCTAGAACATCCAATGCAATTAAATAGATTGTAACGCAGCATAATACTTCTCCATGTAGCAGATAAGCATTATCTGCGTAACTTACACAACACTTCCATTTCATATTTTTACACGGTCCACTGTAAGATGGTGGAATACTCATTTTGTTTTTTTTTTTATAACGTATGTAACATCCAAGGTGTTCCAGAGATTACAGAATCTGTCTGTGTTCTTGCTCACTGTGAAATTCTAAATTGATTTACCCATGTCTGTCCGTCTGTGTGTCGATATGGTGTTTGTGGTTGGCCCTCTCCTTATCGCAAAAATGAAGATATCGACGTCAATAATGTTTTATGCCTATTTATCTTAACGCAACGTACACACAATGTGTAAAACTATTTTGAACATTCCTTAAGTGAAGATATATTAGCTGCCTAAAAACAAGTTAAATCTAAAGAGGATTTGATAGAGACCGGAATTAATTTTTTATAATAATACCAGTGATGTGGGTATCAAATAAAAAAACTTAGGAAGTAGAATGCGATGGGTATGCGAGATTCGGCCCTCGCCGAATACCACTTTCTTACTTGTTATTCACCAATCACCAATGTCCCCATTTTTCGGTGGTAGATATAAAAAGCTGTAATTTAATTTGAATTTTCTTGCCGTTATGCAATTTTACCCAAAAAAAAAAACATTCAATTAAAGAATCGACAGATATATACATATACATAAAATTCGTGTGATAATTCTATTTACGGCGTATTCTATAATTGATAAATTTTAATTGTCCGGTGGCCGATTATTACGAAACTTTTACAAATGAAAAATTTCGCGGTATTTATGGAATGCACGCAAATGTGCAAAAAGCAAAAAAATTATTGTTTTGAAACAAAAAGTTCAATTTTGATATTAAACAAGAGAATGAATTATTTGCGATTCAAGACGAACTTCGGATACCCATTCTAGACTCAAATTCTTTGGAGAAATATATTTTTACTTGTGATTTTGTTATGACCAATGAAGTGGTAGGTATGGTTGAACGGTGTCACCTAATGGTAATATTTATATTGAATATATTCAAAAAAGGCTTAATAAACCTTAATCGGTTCACATTTTTTATCGCTTTTTTTTCTTAATTATATCTATGCTTGTTGCAGATAGACCAGGAGAGTCAAAGGTAGGATATAACCAATTTTCCAAGCTTATTGATCTGTTGCATAACTTTATGAATAAATCGCCCATGTCCGCCCATCTGACGTGCAGGATAAAAGTATGAACATGCTTTCAACTTATGTATACTGGACCACTACAATGAAATATAATAATTTATGGTAATTACGCGCCAGTGTGCGAGGAGGAAGGACTTTGCTTTTTAATACTATTTTTTTTTTCTCAACTCCTTTCAACATTAAACGTGCATCCCAGAAGTTGTAATAGCATAAGTCATGCAAAACACTTATTTATTGAAAGCTGCTGTAGTAATATTGACGTAGATTTGATACTGCGATTACTGCTTCATACGTGCTGACTTAGAAAGAATTCCCTTATGGATATTAGTGATGAACCAAATGTGTGCAATACGCATCGTTTTCATAAAGTTGGGCATTTCTCTCTCCAACTTATAGAGCCGTTTATATAATAACACAATTCAAAGCATTTTCTAATTATGTTTGATAACTAAATTAATTAAACTAGAAAGAAGTGAACTTAAAACTTTTACAAAACTACGAAGGTAAGTGATTGCATGAGTTAGATGAATAATATAAAGTTAAATGTTCGTCTTACCATTAAAGATAAGCTTTTAATAATCTCGCATTTGACATATGCAAGCGTCTGTAATGTCAACTTCACTATGTTTGCTAAATACAATAAAACATTTCCCAATTTCTATTTTTTTGACACTTCGGTGTAGGATTTACACATAGAGGCGCGATCTTACAGAACTCACGCATTAACGCCACCGCTTCACAAACCGTGTAGCAATAGAGCCGTCCGTATACATAGCCTTAAAGCACTATGGATGCTCAAAGATGGATTGCCAAGTTGCAAATTAAGAATTATATTTACATACCACGATTTATTTATTTATGTGTGGTTTAAGTTACCATAGCCAACTGGAAAGACTGACTTACAAGACCTTCTGCGTTTTGTTCTTAGCGTCAAAAGCGTTTGATGAACGCAACAAAACATTTATCATGGATATTAAGTTACTTTTCAAAATTAATGAATGCGAATCTGTGCTTATTACATACATACCCTTATGTACTCGTCAGATGAAAGAGACTGCTGGACAGATAAACAAAATACTTCCTCATAGTAAAGAACTAGGACTAGCGGAAAGTTAGGCGCCTAACAAGCCTAGGAGGCCCGATATTAAACGAATACAATTTCACACAAAGTGATCATGTCATATGTTATATATAATGCAGGCAGTATTCTTAATTACAATGCGATCTCGAATCGGCTGACTATAGTGTTCTTACTACTTTTTATTTTTATTACGACGTCTTTTTATCCTACATCCGTTCTTGCACAAGCACATATACGTTTGTGCGGATTTACGCACAACATACAATAGGGCTTATAAAAGAGTTTTCTAAAATTTATTGGAAAATTAAAGGGCTGTTTTTATTGTCTTCCTAGTAGTTTCTTGATTTTCAGTTTTTTCAATTATAACACAATGATTGCCCTGATCATAATAACTACTCAATATAGTCACTCCCTCGATTTGTTTGACTAAATTTTGAAGCTCCTCTTTTTCGAAAACATGGTAGTAACGTAGGAAAGTGTCTGCATTCTTTTGAGTTTCTTTGGATTTTAGCTTCCAGGGCACTAGAACGTCTTGTTGCAAGAATTCAGTGCGATTCGTATGTATCGGCAATAGAACGGGTGATTGACTTGCTTTTTCTTCCAATTGCTTTAAAGTCTCTTGTCTTTGTTGGTCGGCGGTGGTCTTTTCCTTATTTAAAGCTTTATTTTGCCTTAGGTAACTTGATTTTTTATTATCATTGCTTTGATTTTTAGCCCAGACATAAATCAAAGCCTTTCCCGATGGTCTTAAGATTCGCAGCAGTTCTTGCAAACTTTTTAAACGTCTTTCTGCAGTAGACAAGTGATGTATAACAGCAATGCTAATACACCCATCTATGCTTCTGCTTCGTATAGGCAATTGAAGACAGTCACAACGTAAAATATTGTAGTGTAAACTTTTACACACTTGCAGCAAACCTTGACTACGATCACAACCGACATTTAAAATGTTTGAATTGCAATCTAAATATTTACCATTACCGCATCCTACATCAAGTAACACTGAACCCTGTGGAAAGCTATGAAGAAATTCCGTAACTTTCGGCCATGGAGTATGACGGGTTTCGTTGAAATGCTCTGCTATTTGCTCATAAACACTGTGCACATTAAATTCTTCAAGTTGTACAGCATTTTCTTGTTGTATGACTTCTTTCTTGTCTTTTATTATACCACTTTGTTTACTGTCACACAAAAGAGGAAAATCACAATTGCATGCACCTTTTCGCAGTTTTCTAAACGTTAATGAAATTCTTTGTTTTCTTTTCTTTACAGTAAGATTTCCCTTTGTCGTGGTTACAACGTCCATCAAACGAGGCGTTATACCGTGAGTCCAATTAAATCTTGATTCCCCCGACATTATTAACAACGAACGGCGTGGCAAGATAACAGACACTTTTTGCGCACCATTACGGAAATCCATGACTACATCGCTTTTTAAAGACAAAGATAGTATCGGATCCAAGAAAGCGCTGTGCGTATCAACATGCGGCGGTATGCCTTGGCCGGGCTCATAAGCATTTACCGTTAATTGGTCGGGTACGAGCCATTCAAAATTATAATGCTCCCGCTCATTCACTGTGGCCAGTTTGACCCATAACTTTGTGCATTCCTTGGGTATCTTTCGGTCTAAGGGATGCTTTACATCTACGATGTTTACGCCGTACAGAAATTCATAGCCAAAATGTTTAACCTTACGATGTTTCAGTGAATCATCAGTTACAGATTCCATATCAATAGCTTCTAAGATAGCAAGTTCATCTTCCTCACTAATGAAATCTTTAATTAATACCAAGCCTTTTGGCAAAGATTTTGACCACGTGTCAACTCCGAGAGCAGGTAATTGCTGAAAGTAACTCATATATATAACAGTTTCGTTTTGCCCAACATTGGCTCTGCCATGCATATTAGCAAATATTAACTCAGCATCTTCTTGACCCATGCACTCTAAAAAGCAATACGACTTGTTGGGTAACATTAGAAGTTTTGCAACTTTCCCGTATTGTTCGGCAGTAAGCAAAACTAGCTCCTCCGTGAGACCCGTCGCTAGGCCGGCGTTTAGTATCGCCAAGTATTTTGACGATTCTTCTTGCGCTTGGATGTGACACTCTTTTTGTATAATGGCTTCGCAGCGTCTTTGTTTTCTCTCCACTTTTCGCTTCTCATAAGAACGAGGCATTGCAAACTTATAAAAATTGATTGCCTAACCAAATTTTCTTTTTTTTTTTGTGGATGTTGAGTTAAGATGAACCAATTGTTTTGCCAATAAATTTGTGGCTTATATGTCCATGTTGCCTAAGAATAAAATTATTTTAAAAATTTTAGTTATTATCAGCTGGTTGCTAGTTTCCTTCTCCATCTCTTCAACAAATGCTACGGTACAAAAATATATTTAATACCGAATTTTACAACAATGAGTGTAGTGCAAGATATTTATATTTTATTCTTCACATTGTATCAGTACTAAGCACATATCTCAGTGAATTTTCTGTTGTTAATTTGCTGAATAACAGATGAAGAAGAGGCAGAACAACAGGTACAAAGTGTTGTGCTAAAATTTATAACAATCAGAAGAAAAAAAATATTATTGAATGCAGCAGAAAAAAAATATCTTTTTATACATTTTGTAAAAAGCCTTGTAAGCGTTACGGGGTTCGTTTTCCACACTATTTAAGCAAATGTTATTCTGTTAACACTTTGTGATTATTTAAATCTAGCAGAAAGCAGCAGCTGTGAAAATGTGGTAAAATTGAAGGTGTCTATAAAATTCTTCATGTTTTCAATATTTTTTTATTTTCAGCGATTCTGTGAAGGATATTCGCACAATTGTGGGAAATCTTCTGCCTTTAGAGCGCATTAACCAGAGTAATTGGGAAGCTGCCTTACACGATTTGAAAACTTTAAGAAATTTATGCGCTTGTGGCGCCGACTGCCAAATAGAAATTATTGGAGACAAAAACTTACAAGAATACCTAAGACTTCTACTATTTTCTGAGAAGGAACTGCACAGTAATAATGACTTTTACAAGCGTTTACAATTAATGGCATGGCAGTTAATGGCCAACAGCATAGTTAACAATAGAAAGAGTCAGGAACTTTTATGGCAGTTATATGGCGACTATATTCTTCAGCAATGCAGTAACAAAAGGCAGCCTTTAGATTCTAGCACTGATATACGTTTAATGATTATATATAATATCTTGAAATTATCATTACCCGACATAGTTTTAAGTAGAGGGAAGATCCTAAAAGCTTGTGTCGCCATATGGCAAAACATGATAGAACAAAAAAGTTCCTTACCTATTGAGTTCTTACATTTTATATTGGAAGATTTTTTAGTAACGGATGCACGGTCTACAGTAAGATTTTATTCTCAGCTGGATGTCGAAGACCGTCTATCTTTTTTAGATTATCTGCACAATTATCTGAAACAAGACAGTCCGAATGGTTTAGTTCACACTTTTCTCTTGCAAGATCTATCGAAGCAATTTAAAATGAAGTCCGATTGCTTACTACGAGTATCATCTATACAAGAGGTCGATAATATAAAACCTCAAGAAGTCTACAATCTACTGAAATGCATTGCCTCTGCTACTGGCTCGGAGAATTACGCAGAATTCTACAGTATCGATCATTCATTGTTTTTAAATATCAGCAGTTTATTAAGGGCACTGGCAACTCTTAGCAAAGAACGTTCAAATGATTTATATAAACCTCTTAACAAATTGGAAGAAGTGGCACCGTCTTCAAAGGTATCGCGTGAGTATCAATGCGAAATTACGTATGAATTGAAAACCTTGCTAGTGCGATGTATCGCGAATTTATTATACAAAAATTCAACCAATCAGACTTATTGCCGCGACACACAGTTAATGCCCGTTTTATTGGAATGCACTAATACGGATGCCCGTAATCCTTGTGAGTTAAAGAACGTCACATATTCCCTAATTTGAAAATTAATTGTATTTTGTTTTATAATTTTTTTAGTGATAAAAGAATGGAGTGTATTGGCTATACGTAACGCCTGCCTAGGTTGTCCTGAAATACAAGAAATCATAGCAAATTTAACGCAAAAGGGACCTGCATCAAATGATATTTTAAAAGAATTGAATTTAGAAATGGGCTCTTTAAGAATAAGTCCCGGAAAAGATTAATTAATAAAAGCTTATACACTTACTTCTGCTCGTACACATTAAAAAGGAAAATTTTATTTCTGTTCATAGTGTTATAGAAAAATATTTGTGGGAAATAAATCAAGTGAAAAGAGTGGGTTTTTTGCAAATTTAAAAAGAGGAAGTGGGGTGGAAAAAAGTTTAGCCTTTTATTGCAGATAACGATTGATACTTCCTTGGATGACAAAACAATTCCGCTAAATGAGAATAAGCGGTGGAAAAATACCTAAACAATTCTGCTAAATGAGAATTTGCTACCTCTTTTAAGCGGAATGATTTTGCGAAAGAATTTCTTAGAGTGTTCAAAAAGTTCGTATTTGTAATAAACCATTTCTTTGCATTAAACATTATTTGCATATTTGTTTTTAAAAAAAGAGAGGAATTCATTTCTAATTCAAATGCGTTGCGTGCGAACGCGCCAATTGTTGTACACGTATAAACTTTGGCACTTTGACTTAAGTCTTGGACAGTTGACATTATTGATCAGATCAGTTTTAAAACAAATGAAATTAAAGCATTGAGTTTAAGCTAAACTACTGCTGAAGATTTAAGAACGGTTTCATAATTTCGTGACATCTATTCCATTGATATAGTTTTTTTTTAAAGAGATTGAAAGGTGAAAGCCTGTTTAATCAAGTGGCTTATAATTAAGAAAAATTCATTGTACTTTATTTCTGTCTCGTTTATAATACCTATGTTGCAGAGCAGCAAAGCCTATTAAATGAATTCTTATTAATGTAAAATCGAACAAATTACTTAATTACATATTTCTGGCATTATTTCGTATTTCAATATTTAAAATTTTTGGCAAGCAGTCAACACTCACTCCTCATCCGAAAAGAAAAGAAGACCGCAAAAGCTCTCAAGCACGAAAACTCTCAGGCAATTACAAAAGAAATTATTTTCAATCGGCAATTATGAACAACAATCAACAACGAAATATGTAAGTAGGTCTGTTTGCCAAAAAGAAAAAAACGATTTCAACAAGTGGTTCTTGGTGTCTTTGCCCGGATTACAAGAAATGAGATTTCATTATGAAATATTTTAATTGAACGAACGAGATAGCTAAGAAAAACGACAAGGTGTCTGCATACTAAGAAACAACAACGAAAACAACAACTAATCGTAAAGAAAAATCAGAAAAAAAGAAATTATCAAAATTTCAGTTTACAATTTCGATTCATTGATTGGGTCTCTATGGAAATAGCATAATTTTGATCTACAACAGCTGAGTTTCCTATCACTAGAAAATTGAGAACTACTTAATTTATCTTATATTTAATAAAGTCTTTATTTATTAACCAATAAATACATTGAAAATTATTAATGCGTTCGCATAAAACGTTAATGTGCACATTTATGTCAGAGATAGTCAGCTCATGAGCAATGAGCATGTAATCTTAAACGTCATTACTTTACTCGGCATGTCTGAATCGGTTTGTGCTTTCTCTTAGCTTAAACAGACTGATATTTTGTTCTTAACAGAGTCTTCTTTGTTGCTAAAAAGTTATTTAAGAAATTTTGCGTTAATTTGTCAATCGTAGCTAACAATCCTTTACATAATAACTTACATCTACGAAAATTCAGCTTGTCGTCCCCCGTCTGTTATAAAGAGTGCAAATATAATTATAAGCGCTGTAGATGGCCACGGTCCATCATAAAATTCCGCTCTGTATATATTCATGTGACGACTTTTCGAAATCAGATGTTTTATAGGAAGTGTTCGAAAAGTAGTCGGATCCGAACCATGTTTTTTGCAACATGAGAGCATCATTTATCCAGCAAATTTCATTGCACATATAAATAATTTTATTTGTGCACAAGCACATGTATAACAATTAACATACATGTTCAACAGGTTTCGTCATTGAACACAAGCTCGCCAGTCTAACGAATTTCATCCAAAAATAACGGTATGTAAACAATAGCACTGTCAAGCACTAAAAAACAAGACGGGCGGACAGAAAGACAAGTTTTAACGATTCAGAAAGTGCTTCTGAATCTATCCGCCTGACCGCCTTGTTTTCTTGTGTGTAACTTGCAGTATACATAAATAAAAGAGATAAGATAAGGTTTACCTTAAGTACATCCTCACAAACTTTATACATCCCTGGACCACATGTGGTGTGTGGTATAACTAAGTACAAGAATTCGGATTTCTTTTTAGCAATGTAGGTACATGAATGACTTCTTTCTGATATATAGGTCGAAGTTGACCCAACGATGATTTTGCCAACATCGGCTCTTGAAGAAGTGATTAAAGGAACAAGATCTTTCTTAATCATATAAACAGAATAGTACAGTTATTAAGATCATCATCTATGGATGGCCTTCAACTGTCCACAAATAGCTTGGTGATCGATGCGCGGTTGCCTATGGCTACTTGATATACGCAATATGCATGCACATCTCTCAACAATTATAAAAAAAATTAATAGCAAAACACAAACATTATTTGAGTTTGAAGCAATTTTTTTAAAACCCATCGCCTACGCAGTTGACAAAATAATTCTTAGTCGTGGTATAATATACGCTATAAACTGAACTAATGAACATTCTGTGATTGTGATCTTGTTATTTTGATTGCCGGAATATAACGTCAGTCCCACATTCAATGATACTTTTTTACACAAAAGGCTTCCTTTAAACTAATTTCATGGAAATTCGCGCAAAACCTACGGGCAAGTGTCAGGTCTCTTTTATATTCTTCAGCCATTGTTTTATTACAGGCACGACTGACTATTTATCAATATTAAGATGTCCCTTAGAGCGAATCTTATCTCCAAATCCAAATGTGATTATCACTTGGCAATAATGAATAAGTTCATGTGTCATAACATATTCATCGAGAATCTTATGCTGCGTGAGAAAATGTACGACCAACCTACGAGTTACGAGTTACTTATGCGATGACATATTTAGTATATGTTTTGTGATGATGACTATAAAAACATATGTAAACAATTTGTGTTTTTGCAATTTTTTTTCTTTTATTTGAAAAAATTTTGTGTGAAAGTGCTTAAATGCATTTTTAAACATTGTTTATTTTTGTATCGCTCGTCAATGGTTATGGGTGCACTAGTTTTATCATAACGTTTATTAAATTTTTCGAAGAATTTCGACAACAGAGAACAGATGGATTGAAGGACGGATTTAACCGAAGGTCTCGTGCTGACAAAATACACAGACACAGTATATCCTGAGAAGTATTTTGGCTGGTTTAGGGAACAAGACAGTGTACATTTACATCTTGTTTCTCTCGACTGTGGGTGCAATGTACGTAAGTTACTGTAATATTTTCATTATTTAGCTTTTCAATCAGTATTTTTCTGATTATTTGATGCTGATAACTGAGGCAAGTATATTTTAATCACTTTAATAGAATGGTCGGAAATATTTGTTTTTAACAGGATGGTGGGAGAGGATGGGAAATATTTATTGAAAGCAACTCTGTTATTCTGCTCCTTACGCCAAAAAATGTCGGTGCATCAAATTACGTCAAAATACCGCAAATAATGCATCCTGTAATGTGTAAAAGATCCAGGGCGGACAAGATTTCCGATGGACTAAGAGCTGAGTTCACATGAAGTTCTTTTTGCGCACAAACTTAACATATCTTTGGACCACAAATGGTGTAGAGTACAAAAACCTTCGATTAGCAAGGCAGCAAAGAAAGCTCGCCTTCTAGTAGATTTGTAACGACAATGAAGTTCAAGCGCCAAAAGAACCACAAATTAAAACAATAAGCCAACGCGAACTCAGAGCGGGCAAATTATATATAAATTTGAACGTCCACAAGTATACAGAAAGAAGAATTTTTATACTCAGAACATTTGATTTGAGGACGCGTTGCCTTTCCTCGCTTTCCATCTATGTAAAGCAACAGATTTCTTTTAGTATTATTCTCGATATTATCCTCCGAGCTCTGTTCCTTTAAACTCTGACCATTTATTTGTTATTACAAAAGCACTTCTCAATACATACTCTCTTATCAGACCAACAACTCTTCTTAAAATTATGAGAATTCATCTAAATTCATATCTAAAGAGCCCATCATTTATGTATTTTTCAATGGTTGTGCGAATATCTGTAACAGCGAAATAAAAATGCATTACAGACTATTTGTTCTTCATTGATATGGCAAAGAAAGCACGTGAATATGAATACCTCGTATAGATAATAAAAAATCTACCCGTCGCTAGACTCCCAGAAATGTGTAATAAAAACAAACAAACGGAAATAGCATAAAAAGAAAAATAGAAAATAAATTTTAGAGATGTTACATCGTTGAAGGAAAATTCTAAAAACCATGCGATTCTTTAAAAATAAAGAGAAAGAAACCAAAAGAAAAATACCGACGTAGAGAGAGAGATGCACTCTTATATTATAAAAGAGCAAAATTTGCAAAAAATTAATTTGGATGCGTATACGTGTGGTTGGGTGAGATAATTATTACAACCAACTGTTTGTCATGCATGCTCTTCGACAGCATGCGATCAACAGCAATCAGCGATCTTTTTATTACGCTCTGAGGATATTTGTGGTAATTTTTTTTTGTTTTTTTCGGCGGCGGTCTACTAGCTGTACTATGAAGCATCTTTCAATTAGTTTTTAGCAAGAACTGAAACAATTCAAGATTAATAGAAAATGCGAGCGTGAGTGATACCGAGAAAAAATCGAAAAAAAAGAATATTTTCTTTTTGTAAAATAAAAAAAATTAACATTTTTGAAAAATGTTTAGAAAAAGTCACGTTTAACAGACCGTTGAAAATAATCAGGCACACATGAATGCCATAACGCGTCGCACACACTCTATAGATGAAAAAGTTACAAACGAAAAATGAATAAAGTATACATCTTTCATTACGAAAAGCAAGTAATTGAAAAATGGGAAACTATTTAAAATATTAATAATTAAAATATTGTAATTAATTGCATAATTAACGACTAATCTTTATGAGATATTTATATGGATCATTAAAACGGCGAACAACAAATGTTAACATAAACACTGGATTAAAATAAAATAAATAATTATTTAAAAAATAAATTCTAAAAAAAAAAAAAAAATGACAAAAGAAAAGATGACAAAAAAAAATACAAAATAAAAATAAATGATTTGTATAAATTATTAATTATGAAAGCATTTATTTTGGTTATTTGACTAAAAAGACAACAACAAAAAAATGATATAGAATATTGTGTTTTTGTTTTAATTGAACCTCAAACAAAATTTACTTAATAAAAATTTAAAAAATACTGTAGAAAGAAACACGAAAATAAAAGAACAAAAATTAATCAACTTTTTACCGAAAAAAAGCATAAAAAATTCTTCTTCCATTTGATTTGAATTTTTTTGTAGGCGGAAGGAATACTGTCAACAGTTCTTCGGATAATTTAGAGTAAACGTAAAAAACGACTACTTTTTACCTATATTTTAATATATCTGCTATTGTTGTTCGTGTTGTTGCTTTTATTTTTATTATTTATAAGTAAAACTTTTGCTGTTACTCTTGTTGTGTCCGGATTTTTTTTCAAAAATACATTTGTCGTCGGCCGCAGCGTGCTTTTCTAGTTGCGCCTTTGCTTTTTTAGACAAGCATAACACAGAACAACAACAGCAACAACAAAAAAATAAAAATAAATTTATATTCGACTTGGGACGAATCTTAGATATCCATCATTGCAAGCGAGAATAGGTGTAAATAGAAAAACACTTTGATCTTCGAATCTGTCAGTATCATTTTGTTAACGATTTTAGGGGCATGTCTTGATAGTCCTACTCTCTCTCTCTCTCTCTCTCTCTCTCTCCCTCTCTTAACAAGTTAAATGTGCCGACCTCTTTAGCGACATACTCGCATGCTGAACTCAAATACAGAGTGCGACTAATATGAAATTAGGTTGTAATGAAACAACTTGACAAAATGGCAAAAATATTTTGTACAGCACATTATTTATAATGATAAAATTTTATGAGGAATTCCGACAAGGTTGGATGGACAGGTCATGACGTATATATTCGTCAAACACAGTTAGCTGGTTAATGGATTTGCATAAGGCATCATAAACCAACTTTGCAAATAGAATTAAATTCGACGTGTTTGCGTGCTTTGCTGAACTAAAAACCATATTGCACACTATGCACCATGGATCTGTTCATGGTGTTTAGGGCGTAAAGCCCTATATAATATTTTGTAAATAATCCTACAAAAGTATGGCTTTGAAGGTTGCCGGATAACTTAGATCATATGCTCGTCCGTATTGAAAGCCAAACCGCACCTGAGATTGGAATCCGCCATTGACTTGTTAGACACGATCCTTTACCTAATGGGCCACTCTTGCGGATAATTTGTATAGATTTTTGCTATTTGGAATTGATTTGCTTATACCCATCGATTTGGCTGTCTATTCACATACACAGGCATACACACAAACGTACGCACATGCATGTAGAATATATATATATTTCTCTTATATTTATATATGTATAAATAATAATGTATATATACCTATGTACGCATATAAGGTGTATATATATATATATATATGTACATGTATAGGGTTTTTAGTTCCTATGAACGAAATAACAAGCCTAGTATACCTCCTTCAATTTGGTAACACACACAGAAATCGCAAAATAAAAAAAAAATGTTCTACAGTTTCGTTCAACAAAAAACACAGGAAAAACAGAAAATCCCCGGCATTTTGCACAGCACAGCCATCTGTCTAACTGTGCGAGCGCATATTTTCATTTAACGAGGAAATCAGTCTTGTGACAGGAAAGTGAATATTCTTGTCGATATCACGATCGCAAAATGTTTCAGTCCGTTAAGGTATTTGGAATATTTAAAAAAAAAAAAAAAAAAAAAAAAAAAAAAAAAAAAAAAAAAAAAACATTTTTGAAATATGTTTTCATATTTCGTCTTCGGATATTTATAGTAGAAGCTAAAATTTAGAAAAAGAAATGTTTGGATAAAAAGCGGATATCTTTCTACCTATATATAAATATCGAACTAAAATTATCTAAAAATCAAACCAAAATTACTTAACTGAAAAACGCGCTTTTTCATTTTTCTGCAAATAGTATTCTGTGGTGGAAGCAATACAGCCGACTATCTTCCCTTAGTAATATTTCCCAAGTCCGCTGAAAAAAAGCGAAAATAAATATGGAAGCGAGGGAAATGTGCAATACATTGTTCGATTCATGATAATATCCACGTTCGGTTTGCTCTTACCTAACGCGTACCTTCTGATCGTTCGCCAATCCACCTTCGCAATTCTTTTCCGACAAAAGAAGCGAAATATATGACTAACTAAGACGAACTAGATTGTGTGTATTTTCAGTCAGTAAGATATTTTAATCCTTCCCCCTCCTATAACTACTAAGTGTCGACAGCGTATTTCCTTGTAAAACATGTTACTCAAGACAATGACTTTTAACTTGAAATTGTTCTTAGCTAAGTGGGCCTCTTGGAATCCAATGACATCATTAATAATTAAAATTACATAATTTGATGAGCATGAAGTCGCGCCTATTTTGTGAAGCCTACGTTTACGTCGACGACATTTTATGACTACTGCCTTTTCTAACCAGAACCACTAGTGCGTCACAGCACTCTTCTAGCTGACTATTTTTGGAACAACCAGATTCCACCTATTATTTAAAATGATTAAATGTTTTCATATTTTCTTTCAAATATTCAATGTTTCGTCTTCTGACTAATTAAATTTTCTCCTCTTACGCCTTGGAAAAGCAAGTTAATTCAGGAGTTAGTAATAGACAATTAGGACGCAAAAATGTTAATAATGCTAAAACGATTGGATGGCATCCAAAATCTTCTCAGAGATGTCAGCTTAACTTAATTGCCCCCATTATAGATCTCATCGTATAGAGTATGTGTTTGATGCAAAAAAAAAAAAAAAAAAACAAATGCGTAAAGCTTCATATGACCTGTCCTCCTTACCCATCTCTACGACATTTTCATAAAATTTCAAAAAAGCGTAACGCATATTACAGCCAAACAGATGGTCGTAACTAATTCTTTGTATATTTCGTTTGCCCAAGATCTATAGATATAGATCTACCTAATCTTCACACAACATAAACAATTTGAAATTATCTGCAGTATGCAATTTCAGCTTAGTTGGTGGTATACGGAAATGAAAATGTTTGTTTGCAGGCGAACCGTTGAAAAGCGCAGTGTGCTAAAGATGTGTGCGAATATATTGAACTTTCTTTGATACCCCACACCGCTTGTTGTACAAGTGTATACTCCGTTTGTGCGGATGTAGGTCAAACCCAGAAGTGCTTAGGATAGACCCGCCATCGATTCAGAACCGCTTTGTGATATGATATAAACTTGTCTGTCCGTCTTGGATTCTTGTGTTCAACTTTCAGAAGATCCTTAAAAATGCTTCGGATCAGGCCCCATTTTCGATTGCTTAACTTAAAAGCTCATTACATGAATACGTGTAGGGCAAAATAGGGTATTTAAACGTGTGCCGTGGCGCACTTTTGTGTTTTAATTTGTTCTTTTTTTTTATTTAAATAGTAATTTGGAGAATTATTTAAGAATTTTTCTTGCTAAAAAGTAAATAAAGAACATAAGTGTTTGAAAATTAAAAAAACAAAATTTTTTTTCAAAAACAACAAATAGTTAATAAATAGATCAATATGCACCACGGAGACGGATCCACTTCGACAATTGGCCGTGAAGAGGCACGACGTCCTTTAATGAAAGCGTACATGTTTCAACGACGCGTTCTTTTCTCTTGCTCATGTTTAATGGTTTTGTCGCTGCTTATGTGGATTGTAGCGATAGCAACTGACCATTGGATTATTATAACCGGGACTGGTGGTAAGCATTTTAATGAACAAATATTGTGGTAAGCAAAAAAAAAAAACCGCTCAGAGAAAGCTGTACTAGTAAGTCTAAGTAAACTTAAGTAGATACGGTAGCTAACTTCGAACATTTAATATTTGTACAAATGAATTCCCTGCGTACACTTATTACGAAGCTTAATGATCAAACATGAACCTTGTGGAATGACAACTAAAGGAAAGCTTCTTCGATTTTCATCGGGTTAGCAATTCTTGCTCAAAAGAACAAAAGGTACTCAAAAGCGCTGAAACAAAGTGTCACTTGCTATACTGACTTCTCTTAATCTAAAAAAGTAAAAAAAAAAAATTGTTGCTCATCTTAAGGTGCTAGGGCACTGTAACAGTCCAAAAATAGAGGTTTCTTGACCATTATTTTAGATGGAAAGAAAGTTAATAGAAAAAAAATTATTTTGAACCACTTTCAAAAAATGGCAACATTCTTAGCAGACAGTACCAATTTAAGACGCTATGCGGCCAGGGCCTGCGTTCCCGCAAATGTGCCGGCGTAAAGGGCGTATCATTAACCCATCCACACATCCATACATCCATACATCATCCTACATTTATTAATATCACATGTTTTCAAAATAAGGCGTTATATGGTAAGTAGTCCAAACCAAACCGACTCCTCGAATGGACGCTTTGCTCTACGATGGTTATTGAGTTTTTGTAGCCTGAAATATATATACTGATTGTCGACAGAATGGGTTTGCTCTCAGAGGAATAGTGCCGACTGCCTCCAGAACTCTTAAGCTCTCAGCCGAATGTAAAGTATAAGCTTCTAAGACTATTTCTTTAGGATGCGACTGTGGCAGAAACGGGGGCGCGAAGATATGTTAGAAAAAAATTGACGGAAAAAATCGACATTGACGCACTGCACACTATTCGCGTGTTAATCCTAATCTCATTTCACCCCTATATCGAATCGATCAATTGAGAAAATCAAGATTAAAACATTTGCAAGCATCCGCCTTAGTCATACCGCAGAAACACATCAACGGGTTCTTAAGAAACCTACTGCTCCAGTATGCAATTAAGGACACATTCCTGCGATTAAATACGTACCTTCAAGAATGGCGAGACCTTCTCAAGTCTCGTTTTCGGAGCGTCTAATCGTATGGACTTCTGCGTAGAGAACTGAATATCAATATAAAGTGATTCGACTAATCATCTAGTCTATCTTTAAAAGAAGTTTTTTCTTTACTATAACGATAATAGTAGTAAAGTATGGGGGCATATCAGATCCTTGCTCCTTATGGACTTTTAACACACATATCTATATTCTTTCTTTAATTCCTTTAATAACTTTGTTTATTTATATACACTACCATACGGTAGTGGTAGTCACGTTTGTTTTATTCTTGTTCTTGAATAGGTTGACATGTCCAAAAATGTAAACTAATTAAGTAAAGTTAGCGTATTTTTTGGGAAGGAAAAGTCGAGTTAAAATCGTTATTTGTAGTGAAACCTAAAAAAAAGAGGGAGGCAAAAACCTGAAATAGGCCATGAAGACGTGAAAGTTCACATGGGACTTAATCATTAAAGCACATCTATCATTTTCTCTTATGCAAAATGTAACTCTTTTTTTAATATTTATCTATTTTATGAAATGTTAAAGAATTACTGGGAATGGCAGAGCTGAATCAGACGTTTGTCATGGCTTAAATGCTCTGTGCTCAACGACTATTTAATATTATTTTTACTTATAAAATTATACTTTTAGGCATTTTTATACCTGAAACGCGTCGCTTTTTCATGTCTTCACACTCGGGTCTGTGGCGTTTTTGCCGTTTCACAGTCACTCCAAACGCTTTACCTTCTGCCAACGTTGTGCGTAACTTCACCTCAATTGCCTATCAGAATCCTAGTACATTGCATGAAGCCAAAATGAACTGTTCAAAGTTGGATTTTATAGAAGAATTCAGTTCACTGATCGTAGATAAACCTTTAGTTAATTTTACCGAAACAGCCCGAAAACGTATGTTTGCTCATTGGGTGCGGAACGAAGAAACGGAATTTCAGGCATTCAAAAATGCTTTTCAATCTATTGTTCTCTCTACAACCGAAGCGCGTAATGATTTGGATCCCATAGAAGCTAAGCCAATACCCATAGATCCATTAGACATACGGAGTATACAAGGCCTTCGGGTCTTTGGGACAGCTTTACAAAAAGTTTTAGTGAATTCCACTCATTACTACTTTGTCATACCGGAAACTGCTCAGGCTGCAATATTTGAAGGTTGGAATGAGAAACGCTTTGTTCCGAAACTATTTTGGCCCTTTGCGCGTGACCTAGGATTACCGGCATTTGTACTAAACGATGATCGTGTTATATTACAACTGGTACCACCCAAGCCTCCCAAAAAAGGCAGACAAGCGAATGGCTATGATTATATTCCCAACAGTAAGTATTAATATTCCTTCCTTTAATTAATATTTAAACATCTTTTTGTCTCTGTAGGACGCTGCAAATACATTGATATGTTTCCGAATGCGAACGAATTGCGTACAGATCCCGGATTCGATTATACTTTAATGGGTAGGTTAACAAATGCTATCAAATTTTAGTTTTCCTTATTCAATATCTGATGACGAGAAGGTAGATTAGTTTTGTCATTCCGTTTACAACAATCAAAGATCTCCTTCAGGTATCCGACAAAGTAAATATAATGTTGATAGAAAATTGTCCTTCTGTCGCTCAATCGATCGGTTTTTTATAAGACGAAATATAAAAAACGCAAGCTTTAATAGTTGATTGCATACTCCTCACTGATTTCCATAGGGAAAATTTGAATATGGTCTAAAAATAATATCAGCAAAATTCAAATTCAAAAGTGTATAGAAAAATGAGCTATTTTTTATGTTAACCTTAGCAAAGGGATAAAGTTGATCTATCTATTTTATTTATTTTATTTTCCCTTTTTAGACTACATCAGATCGCAGGCTTCTTTCGCCTGCATCACTGTTTTCGTTATGTGTTTGGGTTCGGTGTTTTCCTTCTACACTTTTAAAAATCCCCGTTACATGTTTAAACGTTTGGCGGGCGGCATAAATTTGGTAGCTGCTTCGACGGCTCTGGTGGTTATACAGGTTATGTTTGCCTCCGTGGATTATACCAAAGAGCATTTATTCTATGCTTATCCCGACGGCGCAGAATTAACGTTAGTAGCACATAATATTTAAAAGTTATTAAATTTTTTGAAATAGTTGCCATTTATTTTATGAAAATGTAAATATTTTCTATACTACGAATCAAGTTTCACTTCTTAATTCTTTGATAGAAGAACGATCCCAGTCGATAAACCAATCCAGTCGTTTAATTAGAGCTACTCATAACATTTTTCAAAAGAACTCGAGCGCTGATCAAGTAGATTTTTTGTTTTAATTTAATTATTTATTCATTATGTAAAAAAATTTGTTTTTATTGCAGCAGATTTACTACAAAATTCTTTAATCGTTCCTCTCAAAATATTGCAAACTCATGAGAAACTGGATGTAGTATGGCATCCCGTACAGCTCTGAGTATTTTTCTCAGGTGCTGACTGCACAATGCGATTATGTACATAATCTTGTAGAGATCTTTTTCCGTCAATGGTTGAAACATCGTTGAAATTAAGACCACTTAATTTTTTTATTTATTAATTATTATGAACAAATTTTCATCACAGAAAAATTTACAACTAGGCTTTTTTCCTTATGAGAGTTTACGTTTCATGAGAATCCTTATATGCGGTGGTATACCTACGTGATCCAAATTTGCTAAGAAAAATTTCTCTGTCAATTTACTATTATCACGTAATTTTCATCAGGAAATATTGGAAATTCGACCTCTTCTGTGAGAAGGGGTTCAAAAAATGTCCCCAGCTGATTCAAAGTTTTCATACCAATTTAGAATGTCATTATGCTACTGCTTACTACGCATACGCAATCCGCATATTGCACGCATTATTACATTGGCGGTTTATTATTATCATGATTTCCATTACATGGGCTTTTTTTGAAATTTTTTTTTCAAATTCTCAATAATAGTTCTTCAAATCGTTTGGATAAAATCATATGCATATGCAATACAATAAAGAAAAGTTCCCCTCAGATTCCATTGCTCTTGCATAAGCAGAAAAATAACGGCGAATAATAATTAATATGGCGACGAATGAATACGTAAACGAAAAACGCAGATCTTTTTATGAATATGAACAAAAAACGCACATCTTTGTATGAATTTAAACAAAAACCGCACATCTTTGCTCATGAAAATGAACAACAACCCAAAAAAATACTCTCCGCAACATTTTTATTTTGTTTATGTTTCTATGGCAAGTATTTCATTTTGCTGTATGGAATTTTTTACTAAAAACTCAGATTGATATGTGAATGGATGCATATTTATTTATTTATTTTATTAATGAAATTTAAAAAAAGTATAATTTTGCAACTTTTCTTATAAAATATATTATTCCGTTTTCATATTCTGCTTATTGTAAGGGAATGGGTTGTGAGACTAGTGTGTATTTCCTAGTCTCACAACCTACGACGCATTGCCCGGCGTCTTTATCTAGATTCCTGACGTCGTTGTTCCGAACAACACATACAACTTAGACTTGGTCCTAACAGCTGTTCCGAGATCGCTTAGTAATGATAATCAAACACTAAGCAATTTGGCCATTGTATTCACTAAATACTAGTAGCCTACCAAAAGCGTTGTTTTGTTTTCAATTCTTATGAAACGAGTCTACAATTATCAAAAGACAAATCAAATTTTATATTTAGTTACCCATGTATGTGTACATAATTCAAGCAGCAAAGTGTCGGGAACAAGTTAAAAAAGAAATGAAAATTAAGTGAGTTTTATGTTTTCAGAATTTCGAAGATTTTCTACTACTACTTCTTTATCACTTTTGCCTAGAAATTTTGAAAATTGTAATTTTTTTCCATATGACAACTTTTCATAATAGAACGTTATATGGGGAGTGGTTGCAAGAATGGATCGACTCGAATCAATTTCAATAGTGTTCGTCCTTGGGTCAAAACAAGTCACTGTACCAAATTTTTCAAAAATTGCGACCTGCAGTTTGAACACAAAAATACCTGGACAGACGGACAGACAGGCTTAGAGCGATTTGAAAAATCATTCTGCATCCTTTAGTGTAGTAAAAGGTGTAGTAAAAGGGTCTACTTTTAGTCATTCTGTGTGTTGCATATATCCGCTCTAATTAATATACCCTGTGGGTTTTAAAAAAAATTTTAAAAGTCAACTGTCAATTTTGAACAAGTTTTTCTATGATTTCAGCTTGATCATGTCCAAAAAAAAACGCTTCTCTTATTTATTAAATATATATGGGATATACAAGAGCACTTGCGCCGATCACTAATCGCTAATTTTTTTCTTGAGATTAAATTTAAATATTTGACAAATTTTTTAAACAAATTTTTTTCCTTTTTTTAGTTACGGTTACGGTGTTTACTTGGCTTGGTTTACATTTGCGGTCAACATCGCTTGTGGTGTTTTGTTTCTGTGGTATTCAGGCAAAAAGAAGGGCAGCAAAGCGCCAACCGACGAAATAGCAATGGCTGACGAGGCTGTCAACATAGGCAGATGAATTTGTGTTTACTTTTATGTACTTACTAGACGTTTTCGTTTTTAGTCCCCGCAAAGAGCACTTCGGATTTCCTTAATACCTCTTAAAAGCATTTGTTTGACTTTTTTCCCCTTCTTTTGTAAAAAACTAAATTTCTTCAGTACGTTAAAAAAAATTTTTATTTACTTTAAATATAACATTTTTAATGTACTAAAACCAATACATCTAAGCCCATGTTCATGCAGCACTACTCTCACAACATTCTAGCTAATAATTGTTGTGCTTATATCAAAAGTATATTTAATTTTAAGAACAGTTTCAGCTAATTTAACACAAAATATCTTGGGTTCATGGGAATACGGTTAAAAATCTAAACGTTGAAAATTATATTATTCGGCGGTATCTTTAAAAAAAAAATCAATATGCGGAATAAATAAAATTATATATATAGTATATATAATATATATATTTTCATATGATAATAATTATGATAATGATTTTTAATAATCTATTATAAAGAATTTCAATTGTTTCATTTCGCTATTGCATTATCTGGCAATACCGTATAAAAAATCACAAAGAAAAAACCGCGAATTTCTTTGAAACTACTTCAGTTGTCAACAGTGTTCTTTGCTGTCAACACGTGTGATAAAACTTTTTGTGTAAAAAGGGCATTTTTGTGTATGAGCATTTTTGCTTTTTAAATTAAAAATGATTAAAAGATTTAGGAAAAGGAAGTCTGAGGGTGTTGAAAATGAAGTACCAAATGAATTAAATTCAGAAGCTGAAAAGAATGGCACCTTAACGGATAATGAAGAAGAGGTAAAGAATAATATTGTTATCCCTCCCTTTGCTTAAATAATTTGGTTTCACATTCAGGATTTGTTGCAAACACTAGATGATGATGCTATCGAAGATAGTAGTGATGCTGATGAGGGCATCGATCAAACATTTCATTCGGGCAATAGTGGTAGTAGCACTGAATTGGAATTTGAAAGCGGCGACGAGCAGTTTTCTGACGAAGAGAATGTTAAGGATGATGATAAAAATGTTAGTAATGACACCGATGACGACTCAATAAATGAAGCCGAGATTGAAGATATTTCCACAAGCGATGAAGATGGGGTAAAAGATTTGGAAGATAAAGAACAGGAAACCATAATATCTAAGAAAATTGAAAAGACTAAGAAATCTGCAAAGAAAAACAATCAAAAATTGGAGGATGTTCAACCTTCCACGTCCACCCTCTGTAAATCTAAGGTTTCTGTCCTCCAGGAATTTGGTAAAGAACTGAAAACTTCGCCAAAATCGAAAGAACGGAAAAATCTCTTAAAAAAGTATCAAATTGGCAAAGAATACGAGAATTCAGATACTTCCGATGAAGAAGATATACGAAATACGGTCGGCAATATACCTATGCATTGGTATGATGAGTATAGGCACATTGGGTACGATTGGGATGCCAAAAAAATTATTAAACCTCCTAAAGGAGATCAAATCGACGATTTCTTGCGTAAAATAGAAGATCCCAACTTTTGGCGTACTGTTAAAGATCCTCAAACTGGACAAGAGGTAGTATTAACGGATGCTGATATCGAATTAATTAAACGCATTAATTCGTCACGCATACCGAATCCTGAGCACGATGAATATGAACCTTGGATCGATTGGTTCACAAGAGAAGTGGAGAAAATGCCTATAAAAAACGTCCCTGACCACAAGAGATCATTTCTACCTTCGGTTTCAGAGAAAAAGAAAGTTGGTCGTATGGTGCACGCCCTCAAGATGGGCTGGATGAAGACAACCGAGGAGTTGGAGAAGGAGCGTAAAGCTAAACGGGGACCTAAATTTTATATGCTTTGGGAGACAGATACTGGCCGCGAGGCAATGCGACGTATACACGACCCAGTTTCTGCACCGAAACGAGATTTGCCTGGTCATGCTGAATCCTATAATCCTCCGCCTGAGTATTTGTTTGATGAAAGAGAAGAAAGAGAATGGTTGAAATTGAAGGAGGAACCTCATAAGCGAAAATTGCATTTCATGCCACAGAAATATAAATCTCTGCGCGAAGTTCCTGCTTATCCACGTTATTTGCGCGAGAGATTCTTACGTTGTCTTGACCTCTACCTATGCCCTAGAGCTAGAAGAGTTAAGTTAAATATAGACGCTGAGTATTTAATACCGAAATTGCCGTCGCCTAAAGATCTGCAACCGTTCCCTACCGTGGAGAGTATGATTTATGAAGGCCATAAAGACTTGGTACGTAGAATTAGCGTGGAACCCAAAGGTGAATACATGGTCTCGGGATCGGATGATAAAACTGTTAAAAGTAAGTTATAATGAGTTTCTAAAATAACTTCCTTTTAAAAAGGTTTTCTTTTTCAGTTTGGGAGATTGCGACTGGCCGTTGTATACGTACTATCGAAACAGAAGATGTAGTGCGTAGTGTGGCTTGGTGTCCCAATCCTAAGCTCTCTATAATAGCGGTTGCCTCTGGTAATCGTTTACTGTTAATTAATCCTAAGGTTGGTGATAAAATGTTGGTTAAGAAAACCGACGAGTTGCTATCTGAAGCTCCACAACTTGACGCAATGGAAAACGAGCGCATTAAAACTGCTGTCCAGTGGGCGACTGCTGACGCAAAAGAACAGGAGAAAGGCGTACGTTTAATACTTACGCATTTTAAGGTGATACGACAGGTTACTTGGCACGGTAGAGGCGATTATTTTGCAACAGTTATGCCAGAGGGAGCCAATCGTTCGGCTTTAATTCATCAACTATCCAAAAGACGTTCTCAGATACCTTTTAACAAAAGTAAAGGATTCATTCAATGCGTTCTGTTCCATCCCATCAAACCGTGCTTCTTTGTGGCGGTACTTTTATTTCTTTCGCGAAATGTATTCTTTTCAGTACTGTTTACTTAATACTTACAGACCCAGCATAATATACGTATCTACGATTTGGTTAAACAGGAACTAATCAAAAAATTATTAACTAATTCAAAATGGATATCTGGCATGTGTATACATCCGAAGGGTGATAACCTTTTAGTTTCTACTTTTGATAAAAAAATGTTATGGTTTGACTTGGATTTGTCAACTAAGCCGTATCAAACTATGCGCCTGCATAAAGGTGCTGTTCGTAATGTTGCTTTTCATTTACGTTATCCATTGTTCGCATCTGCAAGTGACGATCAATCCGTTATAGTATCACATGGCATGGTTTACAAGTAAGTTCAAAATTCTAATGTAATTTAATTATTTGTTCATTACGTAAAAAAATCTGTTTTTATTGCAGCGATTTACTACAAAATCCGCTAATCGTTCCTCTTAAAAAATTACAAACTCATGAGAAACGTGACGTGTTTGGCGCACTGGATGTAGTATGGCATCCCGTACAGCCTTGGGTATTTTCCTCAGGTGCTGACTGCACAGTTCGATTATATACATAATCATGTAGACGTTTTTTTTCGTCAATGATTAAAACCATTTGTTTCGCCTAAGGAATTCAAAGCTTATACGAAGCGCGAAAAAGTCTGTGTGCTTGCAGTTGTTTTAGCGGGCTTGGATATTAACCCCCACTGCTGACTCTACTCCATTTAACTATTCTATATATATAACTTTGTAGAAATTATCTCCCGTCTTTGGAGGAAAAATATATTAAAAATTTGTATAGTTTTTTTTTTTTCTTTGGATGCAAGAGAGACTTTTGAAAGTACCTCTAGATAATTCATAAATTCAATTTCTTAACATTTTTTTCGAGGAAGAATAATTTGAAGCGGAATACTTCATTATTGCTCTTGGTGAAACACGTCAAATTTTTTGTTTTTGTAATTGGCTCACTTTGGCGGGTTTTCTGAGCACCTTTTGATTAGTGCTACGACGTAAAATTTTTTTTATTAAAAGAACCGCAAGTTTTTGGAATTAATTTTTTTTAAAAAAAATCCTATGTGTGAAGATTTATATTACAATTGTTAACTAAGCCGATAATATATGCGGTTATATTTAAATCAGCTGATTTCATGTAGTTACGGACAGAACATTACATTTTACTTTATAATAGAAACAAAACAGCTAAAGTGGGCCATAAAACATCTTAAAACACCGTACAATTACTCACGTAATCGCTTTTCAAAATAAGGCTTTATTTGGGAAAAAGTTGGAAAAATATCCTGATCCGAACCATTTTCATTTTTAATGCAGTTCCTTCTTGGGCCAAGGCACGGCAGTGTACCACATTTCATCAAAATATCTCAAAGACTGTGGCCTGTAGTCATCCTTCAGAATTTGGTCGACCATGTTAAAAGCTTGTTTACTTTGATTCCCTTCAATGTACTGCATATTTTGTTAAACTTTCGATTTTATCAAGTCTTTTATTTTCTTTCAACCTTTCATTTTCGCTGACTTTGACTTGCGTTTCTATTGGCACATTATCCAGGCGATCACATCTCGTAGAGGTTTGATTAGCATTTGTGTGACGGATAGACAGACAAACTGTCCTTGAAAGGGGTTCTGAATCTATCGATATAATATGACTTGCCCTTACCTCAAGCCCTTGTACATCTTGCATACATCGCATAAACTTAACTTCTTATAACTCAAGCCGTGTAGGGTATAACAAATAGCAAATAAATACAAAGAGTGCATAAACACTAGATTCATTTCTTATCGTCACAATCTTATTGTTGCAAGCTCGGTCATATTTGCTTGCTTCCCATTCCCATTGAAGCAATTTTTATATGTAAACAACGGCAATAGGAATTTGAATATCTATCGATTTTTTCTCTTGTGAAAATATATTTTAGGACACTTCGGAGACTTTCATTTCCACTTTTCACACTTAAATGTTACAAAAGGGCGTTTAGATCTCTTTTTAAATTAAAGGACCGCTTTTATTACATAATGTCCACTCCCATTTTTACACCTTTTCTTTCTTTTCGTGTTTTGCAAAACCTAGATTAAAAACAATCTCTCTTTCTTCGTACATCATAAAGAGGAACTTATAAATAGTTTTTTTTACTTACATAGGCAACATAAGAGGCTGTTACTTGCAAATTTATTTGATAACGGGCCTTATCTTCTTCATAGAGAAGCTGCTTTCTGACGTTAATAAATATGAGTAATATTTAAATAAAAGGTTTTGATTAGTTTAGTTTTAGTTTCCATTGGCAAAATGACATCTTTCGTGTGTTTAAAAGATTTCGAGAATGAGGCTTTTAAGGTCATTGAAAAGACGGCTTTGGATTATTATCGTAGTGGAGCAGGCGATGAATTTACTTTGAATTTAAATAGAAAAGCCTTTAACAGGTACACATGTTTTCGTATGTAATGAGTAACGAGTGCTTAACTTAACTTAAAAATTGTCGCTAGAATACGTATAAGACCGCGATGTTTGCGTGATGTTTCTCAGTTAGATGCAAGTTGCCAGATCTTTGGCAAGCATCTCCGATGGCCTGTGGGAATAGCACCAACGGCTATGCAAAAGTTAGCCCATCCAGATGGTGAAGTAGCGAATGCTAAGGCCGCAGGCAAAATGGGCTCCGTTTTTATACTAAGTACCCTATCCACGACGTCGATTGAAGAAGTTGCTCAGGCGGCCCCCAACACGTATAAATGGTTTCAGTTATATGTTTATAAAAATCGGTACTTATTCACAGTGATTACAGGTGTTGCTGCAAAGTAAATTATTTTTAAATTTAGTTCCATAACAGAACAGCTTGTAAGGCGTGCGGAAAAGGAAAATTTCAAAGCTATTGTGCTTACCATAGATGCTCCAATTTTTGGTCAACGCTGGGCTGATATACGCAATAATTTTAGTTTACCACCGCACTTGTGTTTGGGAAATTTTGTCACCAAATCTACGCAATCAGATGGCGTGCGAGGTGAAGCGGGTACTTCTGGTATCAATAAATACGTAACCAGTCAATTTGATGCGGCTCTCACCTGGAAAGATGTTGAATGGTTAGTTAAGCTAACACATTTGCCGGTCATTGTTAAAGGTGTCCTTACCGCTGAAGATGCAATTATGGCTCAGGAATTTGGTTGCGCCGGTATAATTGTTTCAAACCATGGTGCGCGGCAGTTAGATCATGTGCCTGCCTCAATTGAAGCTTTGCCTGAGGTTGTTAAAGCGGTCGGCGATAAATTGCCGGTTATGTTAGACGGTGGAGTCAGACAAGGAAGTGATATATTTAAAGCTTTAGGTGAACTGCACTCATTTAAAAACTTTTGATGAAGCTTTATATCGTCAACTAATTTGTTACTTTGTTTAGCTTTGGGTGCCAAGATGGTTTTCGTAGGTCGCCCAGCTCTATGGGGTTTAGCTTGTGATGGCGAAGCCGGTGTCAGAGGTATGCTTGCTGTGCTCAAAAAAGATTTCGAAGATACTCTAGCATTAAGTGGTTGCCGTTCTTTAGAAGATATAAAACGTAGTATGGTAGCGCATCAACTAGAGTACGCGAATTTGTAATTTTTTCATCTTTTCTAATTAATTTTCTTAACGTTCTTTCTTATTAGTAGTCACACTTTAGTAGCACTGCTTGATTGCCATTTTTAAACTTAAAAAGATCATATTGACCCACTATATAGGGCTATCCTATCCTATCACATAAAAAATGCGTTTGCGTTTACTAAATTTAGGTAAAACCGTTAGAATCACTAAGAAATAAGTAAGACAATAAATAACATCATAAATATAAATTAATAATATATTAATTTGAATGTCTGGTACCCACCATCTCAACCTAAATCAAAAATTACACACAAATTTTTCTTTAGCCTTCTTCAACCTTGATCAACTTCAATATGCTTTTAGCATAGGTAGCAAATTTATTGTGACCAGTAAAAAATATTTGCCTGGATATGGGGAGAAGTTCAATATTGGAAAAGAAATCTAGTCATTTATGAAGAGATTGAAAAGTGAGAACGTGAAATGTAAAATGACAATCAGGAGCGAAAGGGATCGTATTCTGAACTGCATAAGCAGTATTTAAGCAGAGTTTTACGCTTATTCTCAAAGCGGCACAATACATGCATAACAAATGAGAACGAATATACGCTTATTCTCAAAGCGGCACAATACATGTATTCTGGGAATTTAAAGAAAAACTTTAACACAGAGTATTTTGTTAAAAATTCAAGTTTTTTCTTTTTACTAACTTTGCATGTTCGGCTCAAAGGATGCAAGGGTTTGCTTGAAATTGGTGTCTTATCGACAAATCCTTCTCAATATCTTGGCTTGGTTTGCACAGCTTGGAATCTAAAAGGTGATCATATTATCTCTTACGATAACCGTGTACTAAACGGTTTTATAGGAATCTTTTATTCTGTCTACGTCCCTGACATGGAATCGTCACAATTACATCCTCTTTCGGAAATATTAGCAAAATCGAAGAGGATATGCTTGATATACTCAAAAGAGCTATAGCGAAAAAATCAGTTTTTCAAATACCAGCTCTTTGCTTGAGTTGTTCCAGGAAAATAAATTTCTCAACATTTTTTAATTTTAGTTTGGAGGAAATGGCATCGTCTTTAGGTAAGAAATTTTTTTTTACACCTTACACCACTTGTGGTGCATGGTTAAATTAAGTGTACGCAGAAATATGCAATACTCTAAAGGATTTGAGATGGAGCGACCTTTTATTACGCCGATGGATATATATTCCTTTTCTTAATCGATCTAAGCTTATCTATCCGTTTTGCTTTCTTTCGCTCAATCTGTATTTCCTAATTTTTGCAGGTATTTGCTACAACGAAAAAATTTGGCTGAAAGACGAACGCCATTGAATACAGTTTCAGACCACTTCTTCTACCACTTCCTACATAACATCTCAGTTCGAAAAGTCGTTATATGAATAACTACCGCTTGACCTAGGATATTCAATGGCGCGCTGGGTTCCACTATAGTGTTTTTATTTGTTTTCTTCTAAAAAAACTTGGCCAAACAGAAAAGCCTATGCGCTTCGCTAGAGAATGCAATTGTGTAGCTATAGTTTCGAAATAAGGCGAGTTCGGAAGTGTAGCTTCCAGGAAAAGTCGGTTACAATTTTAAGTAATTGTTGTTTTAAGTAATATTAGCAGGAAGTTCACAAAGAACTTTAAGATCCATAACGGCTTTTGGGTGCTAATTGGAATATTTGAGGGATCTTCTAAGATGATAAAAAGAAATGATGATTTTGATTCCCTCATCGGTCTGAATTTTTCCACTTAATTAATTGGAAAGATTACTTAATTGAAGAAACTTTATTTTCCTATAAACGGGAAATTTCGTGCGCAAAAACATTCAGGATTTTGGAGAGAGCCTTTGGCGAGCAGACTTTGGTGGACATTGATGTTTATAAGTGTTATAAACAGTTTAAAGAAGACCGAGAACGGGTTGAAGATGAAGAGTGTCCCGGGCGGCCATCAACCTCTATTGATAAACGGCACGGCCAACAAATCAAAGGTTCCATGTTCGGTTAACAACTGGGAACTTTGCTCAGGCTGTTGCTGTCAAAAAGTCAACCACATTTTAAAAGATCTAATATTTTGGATCCGAAATACGCCAAACCTCGATTGGCGAACAAACCAACAACATCGCTTAATTCCTATGTTGGTTCTTCGAGAACATTTCGTTAAAAATTCAGCTCATATCGTTGCAAAACCACCGTAGTCACCTTATTTTGTTCCATACGATCTCAGGCGATTTCCTAAACTCAAGAGACCATTGAGGAGAACATGTTTTCACTCGATTGGAGAGATACAAGCTAAATCACAGAAAGTTTTGAAATCGACTGTAACAGGTGTTTCGAGGATAGGAAAAACGTCGCCATAAGTGCATAGTGTATGAGGCGGATTATTTTGAAGGTGAAGAAATAGATTTGGAATAATAAAGTGATTTAAGACAGCTAAAATTAAATTGGTCTTAATTTTTGACCACAATATATGTTATAGCTTATAATTTTTAACTCTTTATCTCTTATGAGGTTCATCAAGTAGGCTTGTGTCGCTTTTCAAGTTTGATCTGCTACCAAGTTTAGCTTACATCAAAGGCCAGCACTTTGGCCGGACAGGTTTAAATCAATTCAAAACTTTACGCTGACGGAGACCACATTTTTTTGTGTGGATCTTTAATTTGTAAGCTTTAGAATAGGAAGACGGTGGAGGATGAGAATATAAAAAAAGAAGCAAACAAAGTATTTAAGAATACGCTCTTAGTAGTCGATCCGGTTATATTGATTGCAAATTCTCACACAATTTTTCTTAACAGGGTTGCCTTTTGTCTCTTTAGAAATACAGTATTTTTTATGTTTCAAATTTAACGGTGTTGTGTGTCTGTGCATTCTTTCAAAAATATATAGAGAGACAAAACAAGTAAAATACTATGAGCTGACGGAGAAAATTAAAACAAAACAGAAAAACAAAAAAAAGACACAAACTTCATAGAAAGCATTTCTCGCTCGGCAATTTTCGATTAAGATGATGGCAAATGTTAAATTTTAACACCACCTTCAAGAGCTTTCACAGTGCAATACTATAGTTATTGTTGTTGTCTTTGTTGTTGCATTTCGTACGCCTCTTCACAGCTGATATTCTATTTTAAAAATTTTAGGGAGAACTTTTAAACACAAACTGGAAGAAACGAAATGAGTCGAGTGTCGAGTGGCTAAATACTTTATATATATACTATATATACATATATATATATATATATATATATAAATATATGGTAACGGTAATAGGGTTCGATATGCTTGAATCTAGTATAAATTTTCTCTTCCGCTGTTAAGCAGTTTGTTTGTTGGTTAACCGGTTAACTAAACTTCAATATTAGAACAAATTTCTTCTGTTGTTTTTTTGTTTTGTTTTTTTTTTGGGTATTAAGCATTAAATTAAAATATAAGAAAGAAATGCCCGAAATATATTTTAAAGTAAATTCGATATTATTACTAAAAAAAAAAATGGATCCATAAATGAAACCAGCATTAGCATCTTTAAAATATGCGTAAGACGCACAATGTGACGTTTAAAAAAAAAAATAGTGTATAAAAATGTATAATAAATAGACATATATATATATATATATATATATAAACATATGCAAATATATATAGATAAGTAGAAGAATTTGTAAACGTGTGCGTACTATGGAAGAATTTATCTATTCGTTGTCTATGTGATTGTTCTCGCTCGTTAACGAGAATCTTTTAGATGGGATGAAAGCAAAATAAGAAGAAGAAGAAGGAAAAATTGCACGGAGAAAAAAGTTGTTAAAATTAAAAAAAAAAAATGGGCCAATACAACTATATATGCTTTCGAATATTTCGAAAAAAATGAACATGCATGCATCCACACACGCACCCATATACACATACACATATATACTTATATATGTATGTACATATATAAAATGTTTAAGAAACAATTTTGCACAAATGCGTGCTTGCATTCATATACGATGGATATGTAAATAATTTTAACCCGATAGTTGACCTCAAATTAGCTCTCAATATATGAAAATATTTTTTACAACAAAAACAAATAAACATATACAAATATCGAAAAGATTTACTCTTTGCCTAAATTTTTATTTTTTTTTTTGTTTTTCTCATCTACGACGACATCTGACATTAGTTGTCGATGTGTGTGCTTGCTTAATATTTAATTTAATACTGCGCCAAACGTATGGCTACGTATGTACATTATATTCCTCATGCGATTAATTGCATAGTAATTCTTTTTTTTACTAAAATCCCAATAACGGATCGAAAACATGCACACATCCAGACACACAATGCACATAACACCTACACTCTCCTAGTAATTATTAGTAAGCGCTTAGTTCACTTTCTCTTTGTTCCGAGCGAAGCAAACAAAAAAAAAAGCACATACGCTCAACCCCTTTTAACTTCTTGAGTAAAGTGTTGACAGCCACCTTACTCAGTTCGTTTTTGCCTAGCTTGTGTTGTGTGTGCGTGTTCATTGCGTTTAATTTGTACATCTCCAGCGCATGTTTAATGCATCGGTCGGGATTTAAAGGAACAACAATGAAAACAAAAAAAGCAAACAATGTAAAAAACATTTTCAAAGAAAGTCTTCTCAAAATATATATATTTTTATTTTGCAATAAAATCTCTATTTTTTCTATAAAACTAGTATAGTAAAGAAAAAAAAAAACAACAACGGTATTTTAAAGCAAGCAAAAGAACTTAATAATCAGTTTACAGCGAGAAATCATTTCTTCTCTCATTTACAGCGAAAGAGCAACATAAAAATAATAATAAGGGAGTAAATTTTCATGAGTGTGTGCATTAAGCTTTTTAAAAAACCGCAAAGTTTATAATAATAAAATATAAGCAAATAAGCAAAAGAAATTCAAACATCAAATCTTTGTAAGAATAAAAAAAAAAAAAAAAAAAACAAAATAATTTTCTTCTTTTAAAAAGATATTATTATTCGTAAAACTAACAACAACAGCAAGTTAAAATCAATCTTTGTTCCTAACGGTCTATATATATATATATATATATATGTATATATATAAAGTGGTTTTATTTTTACGTTTTCTTTCATATATAAAAAAAATGGACTTCCAGCCAGTTTTTACGGTGAGTATCATATCATTTTACTTGCATCATCGACTCTATTTTGAATATTGAATATTTATAATGAACAGAGATCGTACTTGTACATATAGCGAAAGCACATCAACAATAATAGCAAACCATATGTTTTTTAAATGCTTGTGATTATTCATGTTTTTTATTTCATGTTTTTATTACTTTTTTACCTTATGTGTGACGCAATATAAACACATAGCAAAGTCTTAATAATGAATGAATTGATGAATAATATATGATTACCGAAGGGTCGATAACATTTCCAGCTAAGAATAGTTTGTGTTTATTTGTTTGTTTATTTTATTATTCATTCACACGTAATCATTAGGCCTTACACGGGCGAGCATCTAAATGTATATGACGCAGAGATGTGGACGTCATTTACGGTTATTCCCTTACTGTTTTTAACTGGCTTTAACTAAATGCAAATTTGGATAATAATTTAACTTTCATTAATTCACTGGTCACAATTTCATTTCTTCTTAATGCGAAACGGCTAATGAGTTTAAATAAGTCGTAAAAAAAAAAAAAAAAAAGACAAAATTCATAATACATTGTTAGGGTAATTGAAAATTAACGAAATTAAAAAGAAGATTGTCCATAGGAAAAATCAGCTCTACATGTTAGGGAACGGAACGGGAAGTATTCATTAAATTGTACCTTCTCGCCTTCAAAGTGAACCACATCGCCATAGCGAACTAAAGCCACGCCTCCAGTCCATCTCGTCTTCTTACAATGATTTAAAGATGGCTTCAAGTTTCTTCAGAGACTTTTTTAATTCGAAACTCTTAGGACTAAAAAGTAAGCCTGCAGTAATTTTACTTTAACGAAAATGTTGCAGGAGTTCATCTTCCGTTCGATCGTACATAAGTTAAGATTTTGGTTGCAATGATTCGGTTTTCCACAAATCCCACTAGAACTTAATAGGTGTATTCACTTCTTTGTCGATGGTTGAAATGCTTGAACCGTCACTTCTTAGGCTTGTTTGAATCCTTTTCCCTATCGCCTGTTTATGCGTTTTTTAACAGACAGGACTCATGGCCGCATTGAGCGGATATGCTTTTAAAGCTGAGTACATTTACTTCCTTAGCGAAGTGATTTCCCGAAAGTCTTTCATTACTATTGCACTAGTTTAAGAAAGTTGTTCGATGGAATGCTTTTGCGAGCGGAAGGAATTGCAATTAATTTTTCATAATCTTAGAGTATCAAATAATAGATGAAGGGAAAAGGTTTGTCGCGGCCTTTGCATCGACATTCAAACGAATTTTTCTTATATTTTACATGAGCCTTGTCGTTTTGGTCGAAAATCTCTTGTTATTTTTCTGGTAAAACCATCTTTCCATAACTATGATGCTTCTAGTATTTCTTATGCAAGAAGAAGCTGAAGCTGAAGCAAGCCATTGCCCTCGATTGCGCGCTTTGAACTGCAAAATTTGTTAACATTAAGTAGAGTCGATGATACAGCCAGGTCAGAGCACCTTTCTAATCCAACTAAAAACACTTTGCGGGATCAATCCGGTACTTGCCACACTTTGTACACTTTTATCTATTTTCCATCACATTCTCAAAGTGGGTCGATTCACAGATGGAAATTCGAACCATTAAAATTTTTATCATTAATTCATGTCCCCCCCCCCCCAAAATTTCCGTTTTTGTTGTAGCCAGCCTGTTAAAAATGATTCAAAATACTTTTTGATCAGTGCTTATCAAACCCATAAAATGAAATTTGTGGGTCTGCTTCAATTTTTTGAAGAGTTTCAATTACTTTATCAACGACCGTTCGAACATAGGAACTTGCAGAACGAAAACGAGGAAACCAATTGCAGGCTGCTGCCAATTGCAGCATCTTCACCATAAATAGCACAAATTTTTTGCAAGCCTGCGGATGGTCTTGTTTGAAGTGTTTTTTGCAAAAGAAAATGAGATTTTGAGAGTTTCGACCAAATTAAGAAATGTTGAAAAGTTTTTCTTATTTTATACGCTTATTATATATAGAGTCAACGCCGTTCGCGTAGGTGCAATAACTGTAAAGCGAACATTTGTGATTCATATGGAAAATATTCAAAATATTCGAGAATAATTTTCTTTCCAAAAAACAAAAAAATAATAAATAAATAAATAAAAGCAATAAATATTCTGTACAATCAATTGTGAATATTGTGCAAGTGTGCACTGAATAGTTGTTAAAGAAATCAAAGCTAAGAAAGTCCAATTAATAAACTTCAAGTATGAAAATTTAATAGATTTTCAGTTCGCGGAAAAAATGAAAAAACAAAAAATTATGAAAACATTTGTGCAGAATTAAATTGAAAAAGAAATAGTCTATAAAAATATTTTACATATTTGTTCATTTTGATGTCCGCAATATTAGAGAGGAAGAAGATTTTTTTATTTCGCTTCCAAACCCAAGGCAAGGCATACGTATGACAAAGTTTTCAGTTCGACATCTTTTCACCAATTACATGTACGTTCCTAAAGCTAAAAACATTTTTTCTTCAGTTCTAAATGGAGTCGCTTATTGCAGGGGGGGCAAGTTATCAGAACCATAAATGAGACTAGCTAGGAAAGTTGTTCAGGTATTCAGGAATTCATTAAAAATTCCTCATCGTCTTTTATAGTTTCTTCTTTCATTATTTTGACTAGTGCAGACGTATCAAAAGGCAAACAAACCTAGGTGTATATAGGGCAAATTGCAGTTTTTATATTTCCAACAGAGCTTATGGTGCAGAGGTGTACTGGATGTATGCAACATCTAGTAAGACTTGAGATAGACATGAGATGGAAAGTGGCAGAGTCACTTTCTAAGCTAATCTAAGCTTATCTGTCCGTCCAACCCTTCCTCCACTTTGCTCTCTTCTGTTCAATGAATTTATTATTAGATCACTTTTTGTAAATATTCGGTTACTTGTTAAAATCTACATCACTGGCGTTAGGAGAGCGTATTAAGTTTGTGCGAATGTATGAAACACCTAAAAGGAATTGGTGTAGACCCATCTTTCATTATAACGATCGATGCAGAACCATTTTCACGGGCAGCTTGTCTGTCCGTCTATCCGTTTTGTGTTCTTGTGTTCAAACTGTTGCTCGCAGTTTTTGAGATAGTTTGACGAAATTTGGTACAATGGCATGTCTTGACCGAAGGGCGAAAATGATAATGAATGTAGCCCGTAATAAGCCTTTCAAAAGCATTATATGAACAAGTGAAGAGTGGTTCTATAATACTATTACTTAAGCCCTAGCGAAGTTTGGTTTCCGCCTCTTATAAAAGCTATAAGTGTATTCACAAAAAACGAACATAATTATGTTGTTGAAGCTTCCAGATATACGTACATACAAGAAACGCTCTCTTTTGTACTGTCTGAAGTGCGATTTTTACTGCATTCAGTCGTCGCAGGCAAATTTTTTCAAATTATAAAAAATTAAATTCGAACCGACTTCTCGGTATATAGTTTATAATTAGTGTGGGGTTTTTAAAAAAACGACTACAAATTTTTCAGACTTCATACCGTCAATGTTTTTTTTTTTTGAGATGGCCATCAAAATTTACATTCGTGTTCAATATTACTTGTTTGTTGTGCCGCGGTATAGGAATTGCGCAAATTTATTACACAAATAATGAAGCTGCTTGGGTCATGCTTGTAGCATGTAGAATGAAGCTCATGTTTGATGGCTTCGTAAATAAAAAGAAAAATTACCTTTTGAGCGTAAGGAAACATGACTTCTGCCTTTAAAAGCGCTTCAGGTGTGCAAGAATGTCGTGAGTTTTGGGTTAAGAACCTCATTTTTCAAAATGATAAGAGCATCTCAGTTACCGTCTACGCTGCAGGAACATGATTGTAGGTTTTCTGTAAAACGACTTAGAGGATTTCGATTTGGACAATACCCGTTGTCAACAAAATTGCGCGATAAGCTATCCAAATCCATACACAATCAATTTATTGGAAGAAAATTTCAATAATCGTATAATTTTCAAAAATGCCTACGTTAGGTTGTCATCAAGACCATGGGATATAACTTCATTGGTCTGTTTTCTTTCAGGTTGCATCAAGTTATTGGTTTACCCGAATAAACTCTCGAACTCTCTCTAGTTTGTATTCATGTTACTGGTGAAACAACAAAAGTTTTATGCAAAGAAAAGTGTCTAAAAATTAGTGTTTCGCAATCTAATTTTTACAAAACGAGGAATGGATCGTTTACAAGTAATCGTTTTTAAATAAAAATGGCTTGACACATTATTCGAAATAAAAGAACAATCGCGTTGATGTGTTCCGCCGGTTTGTTTTAAAAGTACATGTTATAGCTCTCATTTGATCGGTTTGTGTGTCCGCAACGTTATAGAGTTTGTTTATGCCCTATAAAGCCACTCACAGGAAGATAACAAAAGCTTTTGAATTCACTAAATGACCCATATTCAGGTTAATAAAGTCTTTAGCGAAAAATCTTTGCCAATTGTACTTACAGTTATGATAGATGCATCCATAATTTCTTGCAGGTGTACATTAATTGTTTATAATGCGTACATTTGTACATTTCAAAGTTAAAATTAATAATGGAATGGGTTTGGCCTTGCGTGTCTGTCCATCTACCTTTTGCTGACACTACGCCTACGTATCTTAATTGTTATCTGAGAATACAAACCTGATCTCAATCTTTCTCCTTATTATTTTCGCTGAATTGAATTTAAAAAGTAACAAAAATAAGTAAAAACACTATTGGGGGACACGGTTCACCGTTAACTACCCTACATAAATTTGCTTAATACAATTACTCATACAAAGACTTTTCAAAATAACTTGTTATACGGGATGGGACGGAAAAGTGTTTCGAACCAAATCATTTCAACAGCCTTCGTCTTTGCGACCGGTGGACTGAACACTCGAAAATTAGACGGGCAGACGAACAAACAAACTTAGAATCGGTCGGTATAACAAAGTGGCGTTCTAGTCCAAGTCCTTCTGTGTGTTGCACCTATTGGCACAGCCCTAATG